TAATAATATATGTAATATAAGACCTTTATTAACTCGATGCTATTTAAGGGTGGTTTTTCCATTAATTCAAATAAAAACTCCACTTTTTTTTTTGATTTTCTTGAAGTTTATAATTAAAAAATATAATGCAAAAATATGTGATAAATTTCGTAAAATTAGCGAAATTATAAACGTCCAAGTATGAACACATCAAGTGAGAAATTACGAAACAAAGATTTTGGCGACATTATTCTTTCATGTATTCATGAGTATAGCACTATCAATTTTTTTCCATTTATATTGCAATTAATTTACTAGTTATTAATTTACAAATATTGTGCCCAGTATGGTCCTGCAATAGTAAATCGATTAAGTGTGAATAAGTGCAAATATAAACAGTATGTATCATTTCGTTACGGAAATTGATATTCGTACTATTTTGAATAGACTGGCACGGAACCTCATGATTCTAATTGACCTCAAATTTCAACTAGACCTTCAACAGATATACCTTTATCGCCGAAATTATGTTCTTATACTTTCATCCTTTTTTCTTTTCTTTTTTTAATTGAAAGATAAAAATAGCGGAAAACAATGGGTATTTAAATTTCAAAGTGCTGCTATATTTAAAAATTTAAAGATTCTTTCTTTTCCAAAGTTCAGATCAGTGACATCACAACCACATTCTTCCTAATCAAAATGCTTTTCGGTTCGTTCGTTTTGCTTAAGTGGAATGACCACAATCATGTCAGTCAGTTGAACTCGTTTTTTTAAAAGAGTTGTACATATGATTATATATTCCTTGCAATTTTTATCATTTCATATTGAAAAAGAAATCACAAGAATTCTCTAATTATGAATAAATAAGTAAGTAAAATTCCCGTACTAAAAAGTCATGATTTCTGTAGAAAAAATTCTCAAAGACGTCCTTTTCAACTAGATTATCGGAAAATCTCTTAAATAAGTTACTAAAATTCATTACAACTTTACTAAGCTTTACTAATAGAATATTTATGCAAATAAAATGTCTTGAAATATGCAAAATACACATGATATATGTGAAAAACTTTTTTTCCTGTGATTTCAACTACAATATATTACGTCATTACAGAAATACATTTAAATTACATCAATACTGTGTCGAAAGTCAGTAAGTATATATTCTAAACTACTAGCATAAAAAAATGTTTTAGTCAAAAACTACATGACTTCGAAGAGAAAATAATCTCATGCCTGTAGCTGTTTTGAGATGAACGCGTAGGATGAAGGTCAATTTAATTGCCACCATACACCTTTTAATGTTGTCCACGAATTTGCCTGCGGCTTTTCCCTCTCCGCGCTTTATCGCTATGAAAACAGACAGTGTTCGCAAAAAAAATTAACAAACCTTCAGTTATAGAATAATAATTATACATTGCGTAGTTCAATAATAATAATATGATATTATACTATGTGCAATAATGTTTACAATAACAAGTTAAATCGATAAATAAAGTTAAAAATTATATAATTCCATCTAAAAAAAATGAAGTTCATTTTTATGTTCTCTAAGTAACCACTTACAAAGGAAGTAATTATATCATCCTATGGCCTTCCTGCAACCATTGAATTCCTGTTGGAAACAGTTTTTATCTAGTGAGAAGTTAACGAGTATTAACCTATTCGAAGTGACGGGGCTTTTTCTGATTTCGAGAAAAATTTGCGAAGCAAATTGCTTCCTGTCTGCATTGCAAACTACACACATTCCTTAATTTACACCGAAGTTCATTCAAGCGTAGTATATAACTCTCATAATTTTGCAGAACACCTGTAACAAATTTGCAGAACACCGATGCTTCTATGAAAAAACAGTAACCAAACACTGGTTAAATGTATCGTCGATCAAGGCCATTTACATTTTCCCTAACCCACATATTTTAATTTTAATCTGGAGACAGAGAAAACGACAAGGAACACTTATAGGTTAAAAAAGGAAAACGAAGAGAGTTCCTTTAAAATAAGAAAAGAGGTACAGTGGCTCAGAGTTAAATCCGGACACTGACATTTTTGTGCTTTATGAAGCGATTGGTAGGGTAAGAAAAGAATATAAACAAAAAATAAAGTTATTTTTAGTAAACTTTAGCCAAGGTTATATAAATTCACTAAAAACAAAAACAAAATTTATTTACATTAAATTATAAAAAAACGCAGTTTAAAAAATAATGCAATTATTATATAACCTCAACATAAAATTCGGACAGTAGAAAATTTTTAAATATTATTTTTATTTGATATTAATATTTTGTTGGTGATCCTTTATTTGCTGTTACATTTTTTAATCGATTCGACACAGATCGTATTAGTTTTTCGCAATTCGAAGGATCAATTGTTGCCTATTCCGCTTTTAATGCTTTCTCGAAATCTCTATCATTAGAAATAGTATTGTTTTTCAATTTTTCTTCTAAGTATGCCCATAGATGTTCGATTATATTTAAATCTAGTGATTAAGTGGGATTTTCCATTACATGTGGACAATTACAAAGTAACTCAACAAACATTATAAGTCCGATGTTTCGTATCATTCTGGTAGAAGCTGTAACAATCAGCAATACCTAACTTTTTCACACTATCCTTTAAATTGTCCTTCAAAATTTGCAGATATATTGCTTGATCTATGATCCCATCAGTTATACGGAGATTTCCTTGCCCAACTGCTGACATAGATCCTCACACCATTATTTAACTATCTCTATGTTTAAACATAGGTCGTAAATTATTTTCTTTGTACTCCTCATTAGGTTTTCTCAAAACAAGTTTACCCATCAGATTGAAAAATGTTAAATTTACTCTCATCTATATATAAAACTGTCTTCCAAAATGAAAAATCTTTGTTTTTATACACTTTCACAAATTGCAATCTCTTCGAACGATTTTTTTTTTTTGTGGTCACATGATTTCTTCCTAGCAACTCTCCCATTGAAATTATTTTTTCTTAATATAATTTTCATTGTTTCTGGATTAGCTTCTATCCCTAAATACTTTTTTGCTTCAGTGGCTAACTTCGGAGCACTTAATTGTGGGTACTTTTTAATTTGTCGTAAGATCCAACGCTCCTCGGGTTCTGTGAAGATCTTCCGCTTGGCTGATTTTGGTTTATTTTCGACATTATTTCTGATTTTAAAGCATTTTACACCATGAATTGTAGAGAGACTGCGTTTCGCTATTGACGCAATATTTCGTACAGATAAAATGACTCATAATAAGTTTTCTGAGTTATAATGATGTTTGTTCACACTATTTAGCTATTTTGAAAAATTAAAAGGAAATTTTACGGACGCTAAGGACTTGTTATATCTTATTTTACACTTACAACACATAATGAAAGTATGACAAAGTTAAAGGTGATTCTCCGCACATAAATATATTAAATTTATTAGAAATATGGAATAACTAAACTCTGTATTCATTGAGTTTCCAGTTAAATAGAATATTTCATTACAAATATTAAGCGTTAAAACACCATATACTGAAATTATTTACCATAAATTACTGTATTTGTTTATTGTATAAAAGACATACAAAAGAAGAATGATGGTTAAGGAAGCCATTAGATGAAATATCATAGATCTTTTGACATAGGTTTATTTTTTATTGATTACACAATGATAAATCCTTAAACAAATTGTCAATTAATTATATTTTACAGAAGTTCGAATGGGTATTATAAGAAAGCTTCATTTATATTAATTTTTATTGTGTTTGCTTTAATTATCAAAATGAACATTATAACTGATTTTTAAGCATTTCACCATTGATTCAATCAGCTTTACAAAACCCATATCTTTTGGCTTTTCCAAACCTCTTAGGACCCTATTTTTCATTACAGCAACAAATTCCTTGTTGCTTAATTGTCCGTCCACTAAAAATTAGTGAAAAATAATGTTACTAGTTTAAAATTAACACCTTAAAAAAAAAAAAAAAAAAAAAAAAAA